GGTTGCGGTTTGTTTTCTTACTTTATTGTAAGGGATTTGTATTCTTGGTGTTGGGATTACATCAAGTGGTAGAAATCCTAACGGTTTGTGAAATCAAACGTTAGGTGGAAGAAATCCTGAGTTTTGTGAAATCAAAACTTCGGTGGTAAGATAAGAGGCTTGTGAAATCAAGTTCTCGAGTTGTATTCGGATTGTCAAACTCCGTTAAGTTTGACGGGTTAGTGAAGGCCTGGGCACGATTGCTTCAGGTACTGGATGTAGGCATTTAGGCCGAACCAATATATATCGTGTGTGCATTGCTCTTATCCTTCACTTTATTTTGTTTGTGGTGCATTGTTTTTATTGAATATTCGTGAAGAACGTTTCCGCGCAAAAAAAAAAAACTGGTCTTTTGGGCAACACCTCTATTCCCCCCCCTCTAGAGGTGTGCGAGGCGTCTAACAAGTGGTATCAAAGCGAGGGATTTTCAAAGCTTTACCGCTGAAAATTTAAAAAGATCATGGCCGGAAGAACATTTCAACCCGGAGTTGCCGAAGGACAATCCACGACAAGGTCACTACTCTTCGATGGCACAAATTATGCTTATTGGAAAGAGAGGATGAAAGTATTCATCCAATCAAATGATTATGATTCTTGGTTGGTGATCAAGCATGGAGAGACGGTTCCCACGAAGATTGTTGACGGGGTTCTTGTTCCAAAGTTAGAGACCGAATATACCTCAAATGACAAGAAGAAGATGCAACTAAATGCAAGGGCCATCAACTTTCTATATTGTGCCGAGAACCCGGATGACTATCGGAAAATCTCAAGGTGCAAGACGGCCAATGAGATTTGGAACAAATTAGAGGTCACATATGAAGGAACAAGTCAAGTGAAGGACTCAAAGATCGACTTACTCACCCATGAGTATGGGCTTTTCATGATGATGGAAAATGAAACAATAGATGGCATGTTCGAGAGATTTTCAACTATCATCTCAAATTTGGATACACTTGGGAAGCATTATGAGGATCATGTTCTTGTTCGAAAAATCCTTCGAAGTCTCACACCGAATGGAAGTCTACGGTCAACCCTATCAAAGAAGGTCGAGATTACAATACATTGACATATGACGCACTTCGAGGTAAACTACTCACTTATGAAATGTCTAACTTTTCTAGTGCAGCGGAGATCAAAAGGGAACAAAATCTATCATTCAAAGGAGTTGCACTCAAAGCTTCATTGTCAAAATATGTCGAGACAAGCGGCTCTAGGGAAAGTGACATTCTCGAGTTATTTAATGACTTCTTGCAAAATGAGCTTGAGCAATTGAATGAGAGTACAAAGCCTACTTGCTATGGATGTGGAGAGCGTGGACGTATCAAGGGTCATTGCCCTAATCGAAAATTCAAGAAGTCCAAACGTCAAAAGCAATCCAACTCTAGCTCCTCTTCCTCATCCGATGATGAAGTAGCCATTTGTCTTATGGCTCAAAGTGAATCCGAAGAGGTAAGTTCTTTTAACGATCCTTTTAATTTTGAAGAACTACTAGAAGCATTTGGTGATTTATTTAAAGAATTTAAGAAAGTCTCATCTATTGCCAAAGATTTGGAATATAAAATCACTCTTTTGCAAAAGAAAAATAATATTTTGCAAAAAGAAATTGATTCCCTCAAAATTGAAAATAAGACTTTTGAGGAGACTAATTTGAAATTAAATGATTCACCTTGTTCTTCATGTAAGTCTTCTAGTCTTGAGATAGAAGCGCTTAAGAAAGAGGCTTAAGAAAGAGGTAGACGATTTGAAATTAACAATGAAGAAAGTTGAAAATGAATTTAGACTAAAATCTACCTCTAGAATTAAACACTATAGATCACCTAGAAATAAACTAAGTCATTCTAGGAATTATAAGTTTGATAGACAACTTAGAAAGCACATCACACGTCCTAGAAACATGAACAACCCTAGTGTTAGGTGTCATTATTGTAATAAAGTAGGACACATCACACCAGTTTGTTACACTAAGTATAAGCACTTGCTTCTAAGTCAAGATAATGTGATGCATGGTTCATATGATTTTTATTATTGCAATAACACCCCTGGACCCAAAAGGCATTGGGTACCAAGATTTGCTTCGCAGATTCATTAAGGAAGGTGTGCTTGAACACTTCGACTTGAGTTGAAGTAGATGCGCCAAGCACATAATTGGGTGAAGCATCAATTAAGGGGGAAGTTGATTCACTTTATTAATTCCAACTAATGTTGATTTATACTTTATTTGGACAATGTGATATTATTTGTTTGTTTGATATCTATTTGCATGAGCATATATCTTTTTGCCCATCTCTTTTTGATAATGTCAAAACGGGGAAGATGGTGTAGATATGCATATATTCGGGGGGAATTGTATTTGTGCATATCTAAATGGGGAAGATAGTATAGATTTGTATGTCTTTGTTTGATTTATGATGCTATACTTGAGGGGGGACTAGCCTTGTATGATGCATATCTCCTAATGGGTTTGTCATTATCAAAAAGGGGGAAATTGTTGGACAATGTGCTATCATGAATATATATTTTTGCAATGTTCTTTGCCCATTGTCTTTTAGGTTTTGATAATGACAAACGGGTGACAAAACATCATCATCATATTGTACATCAATGCTAAGAATCAAAGCTACAACAAGTTCATATCCGTCCGTGAAGAAGGAACCTGAGCATCGGTGGAAGGAACGAGACCGAAGAGGTTGTTTCCTTAGTTGGGTAGTGTTTTAGGTCTTAGATTTTGTGTTCAAGAGTATGGCATCTCTAAGGTTCATTCCCTTATCATCCTACCTTTAAAACACATTTTTTTCAGCAAACTATTCGAATAAGTTGAAAACTATTCGAATAAATCCCTGAACTTCTATTCTGACTTAGTTGAATAAATCCAGAACTAGTTGAATAAGTCAGATTGCAGTTTCACCAAAACTAGTCGACTAAGTCTTGACTTAGTCGAATAGTTCGACAGTTTCAACTACCAAACGGCTAGTTTTTTGAATGCTTTTCATCCCTATCCACTCCCTAACTTCTATAAACTATCTACTTTCGTGATTATCTTTATAAGAACACTTAGAACACTTTGAAGAACATATCCTTTGAATATCCAAAGAGATTCTACTCAATCCCCTCCTTATATCCAAGCAAGGCAATTGTTTTGATTGCTAAATCATTTCTTGCTTGAGTTTTTCCTCATTGCTTGAGTCTTTGAGAGATATTGCCATATTCTAAAGGACTTCATTGTATTTGCAACAATCTACTCCGTGTTGGGAGAAT